TTGGAGACTACAAAGCCCTCATGCCCCTGGATAGGAGACCACAGCTTCTCCAGAGATAAGGTGTTTTCCAGATATCCTGATGGCTCTGTGCACCAGGGTGTTCTTGCCCATCAGTACTACAGCCTCCCTGCAGAGGAATATACAGATCATTTGGAGCCTACGTAGACTGTCCCAAAATGAAGCATTTTGGAGAACCATCCAAAAGTTGGATGGGATTAGGGAAGTAGTTGAACTTTCAGGTCAACTCTGTCTTCTGTAGGCATCAGCAGTGTGTCACGGATTGTCACCCAAGGTTTAGACAGGATGTCATTCTAACAAGGATGTCTGGCAAGAGCTAAAATGCTTTCTTTTTATAAAAAAGGCAACTTCATTGTGATGCTTGTTTTTTTATTGCAATTATTTAATGACATAGGAAATAATAGATAAAATAGAAATTAATTCATTATTTAAAGTTCTCCTCACCAATTCCAAAGTCCAATAATATTCCTATATTTGGTTGCCAGAACCCAGCTTTTTAGAAAATGCATAGTTTATTTTTGTATATCTCTCCTTTATAAATATGCAAAAGCCTGTTTCTATGTTTATTCCAACTTTTCAGACCGGTATGCATAGCAAAAGACATCGTAAAATTAACATAAAGAACATTTTTATAAAACATAACTATTTCTGTGTCCATTGCCAAATGAAAATTGGTTTCTGAGGGTCCTCCTGCCCCACATAGCCTTACAGAAATTATATATCAAATTAGTGAGCAAACAAAAAGCTTGCTTGGGTGGCTCTGTCCTTGTGATTAAACTGCTCATTGATGTATGCCAGTGAGTGTCACTCTGATTCAGCATGTCTCTATAACCCACAGCATCAGAGAGAATTGGTCTCACCTCTAGCTAGCTGATTTCTGCCTTCCTGAAATATCTATATTTTCCTTCAGTTTATTAATGACCATCGCAGTTGCTTATAACTTTTCCCAGAATGTTACTTTTCCTCAGATTTGTGATTTCTCATAATGACCAAAGCAATATCCAGATTCTGATATTAAATCCCATATGGTAGTAGACAGGCAGGGAAAATGTCCCTATATCGGTATTTCCTAATCTCTGGCACATGTTCTTAGTCTCAAATGGACATTCAGACATCTGATAAATGTTTACTAAAGACTTCCTGGGTCCTATGTGTTTGCTATAAGTAAGATTTGGTTGTTGTTTTAACCTTCGAATTTGGAGTTATAAAAGGAAACAATCATAATGTATTGTTTGACAACATTTGAAATATGTGTCATGGAAAGACAGGACTGACAGATGCTGGTAAAGAATTTAATTTTGTGGGGGTGAACTAAGAATCTTCACCCAAGGAAGTAGTATCATTTAAAAGAAAGAATTGTTGGCTAAGGAAGGAGAAAAGTGGTTGTCAAGGCAGAGGACAATGCCCTCAGAAAGAGATTGTGTGGCATGAAAGAGCTAGCTGAGTGGAGAGAAGATTCAAAGGGCTGGTATGACTGAGTTGATGAAACAGGCCACAGGGCTTATGTCACAATGGAGTTTGAACTTATTATAAGCTATAACGAGGCTCTGGGCAAGATGATGAAGCATGTCTTTAGAAGATTCATTTGACTACTCTTTAGAGAAGAGATTAGTGAACTGACTAAGAGAAGTGTGGCACTAATGGATAGAAGGTACACAAGTGGTCCAAGAGTCCGGCAAGAGGGCGGTGCTCAGTGTAAGAGCAGGCAGATGTGTTAGTCAGCTTGAGCTGTCAGAGTGAAGTACCAAAGGCCCGATGACCTAAACATCAGTAATGTGTTTCTGACAGTTCTGAAGGCTGGGAGTCTAAGGCTGTTGTACTAACATGGCCAAGTTCTGTAGGGGGCGCTCTTCCTATTGATGACCACTTTCTCCCTGCATCCTTACATGGTAGAGAGAGAACAAACTCTGCTCTTTTCATCTAAGAACACTAATTCTCCACGTAGCCTTATAATTAGGAACTCATCTGAACCTCCCAGGGCCCCACCTCCAAACATTGAGAGTTAGGGCTTCAACATACGGACACAGGGGGAACAAATATCTAATGCATAACAACAGCTTTAAGAGGTATTTGAATATAAAAACAGTATTTGGCAATTTGTTGAAGGGGCTATAAAAAATGGGTAGATTTTTAAAGATGATTCTAAATACCCAACACAAACAACTGAGAGAATAATAGAGCCATCTCTCTAGGAAACGTTGGAAGAAGAAGAGATTTGAGATTGTATATTTAGTAGTTGTCGTGGTGCCAATTTTGGTATGTCTCAGTATAAGCTAGATGGAAATTTATGGAGGCAGTTAGATACATGGATCTCAAGCTCAGAATAGAGGCCCGAATGAATATATAAATTAAAAAAAAGTCAACTTGTAGTTATTAACTCAACAGTTGGATGCATACGAGATTCCTAAAGGAGTGAGCACAGATTAACAAGAACAGAAGGGACAAGACTTGAGACTGGCCACAGATCCATACAAGTGTCCATCAAATCAGTGGGCAAACACCTTTGCAGAAATGGCTTTGTCTTTATGCCTGCCTTTATGATTATATCATAGTGCTGCTTTGATTCCAAATGGTTATCATATCCCTCAGGATCTCAGACTAGATTCTGAGAGAGGAGGCATGTCAACACGAAGGAGCTAGAAAGACAAACCAGAGAAATAAAAGGAAAGTCAAGAGACTGTAATGTCACAGAAGAAGAAAGTAAAGATTTTTGAGGAAGTGATGAGCTGTCAGCTATGGCAAAGAAGATGTGTGCTGTTGGTTAGATTTAGCAGCATGAGCCACTTTTGATCCAAGCCAGACAAGTTCATTGGGGAGTCATGGGACTGGAGGCAAATTATAATGAGTTGGGGATGCTATTTAGAGAAGCACAAAGCATGGACAAACTGCTTCATGATCACACTGTGAAACTTTGAGACTGTGTTAATAAAATTAACCTTGGATCAGCAGATCCAGTGACTATGTGACAGGAATTAGCCATAGAGAGGATGGAGGACCCAGGAATACAGACAGAGAGATGCCCAGGAAGAGTAGGGAGGGACTTAGCAATTCACGGTCCTTTTTGATTTGGGATGAATGGAGGATGCTTCTCTTGCTTGGTCTCCAGACAAAAAGGAAGGTCAGCTGGCTGCTTCTCTGCTTCTTTGAGCTAGCAGGTTTTCAACCCAACATCTGACTCCTGAGTTTTATTGGTAAATAGAACGATAGAAACTTAGTTAAAACCTACATTTGGCGGCCAGGGCAGAGCTGGTGTCAGCAGGACGGCAGGGAACAGACGGCAGTTAAAATAGCAGTAGATCCAGGTGTGGCCGCTAAGCGACAAAAAAACAACACTTGTTTTGTTTTGAAAAAAAGAGAGAGGGGGAGGAAGAGGGCAGAAAGGAAGAAAAGAAGAGAGAAGAAAAGAAACGAAAGCAAAAAAAAAATAAAAAATAAAAAACAAACAACAAAGAAACGAAAGCAAAAGAATAGCTAAGCTGTCACTGCAGACGGGCAGAGCTGAGCTAACGTGGCATCCAAAGTACAGAGATGTGGAGTCATCTCAAAAGCCAGATTGATTTCTGCTGCCATTTCTGTATTAGAAATACATTTCCATACTGCTTTTCTAAAGGGATTTCCTTGTAGGGTGAGTCACGTGTGAATTCTGTCTTTTGGAAATGGTGGATTGTTCCTTCATAGTGTCTCATCCCTGTAGACCTTTGCTCCAGTGTGTGCAGGACACGGGCCAAGCAGACGTGTGGCTCCCCCTTGCACGGGGAACAGTGACTCATTCTCCCAGAGCAGACCCTCCTTTCGGAAGGATCCACTTGCCTTCGAGTAGTTAACACTGAGTGGCACGAAAGTGCCAGACAATCGTTTGCTGAGCTTTCTGAGCATGTGAGGAAGGGAGACGTTTAAAACTATGTGAGCAGTGGGAGGGAGAATTTTGATGAGGAAAAAAGAGATGGAACCTAGCTCTAACCCATGTTAAAAACATAACCCACCCCCAAACAGAATTCCCTGAGTGGTCCTCCCAGAGGACCAGGGCCTGAAGCTGCAGGACAACGGTGAAGTCCGACAGTGCCCTTGCTGCCGTGGCTAGAGTTCGCCTCTAGGCATTTCATCTGATGTATTCAGGATTTTCCGGGAAATTACCAGACTCGGTACTAAGAAGTATTTGCAGTGTTTTATTATTCATTGGACCACAGTGTTTCTGCTCCTCTCTCTCTTTCTCAGAACAGGTTTGGTCAGGCTTTCCCACTGCAACAGCATCCACCCCGCTTTGTAGTGCCCGTTTCTTCACCGCTGGGATAAAGTGCTTGAAGGAGGCAGCTTAAGAGAGCACAGATCTGTTCTCTTTTCTTTTCTTTTTTTCACTTGGAAGGTGCAGTAGCAGGAGCGCGTCACACGGCTTCCTACATGGGGCCAAACCACAAAGCAGAGCTGGAAAATTCGTAATGTGGGGGATATCTGAACACGGTTGGAAAAGATCAAAAATGTTCTTCAAAGGATGTACAGCTTCACTGAGCATAATATTCACTAACATTATTCTGTGGTCACAAGATCCAATGCCATTTAAAACTTTTGATTAAACTTGATCCCACTCCCACCCTGCAAACCTGGCTTAAGCAAAGAACAGGAAGAGAAAGAGAAAGAGGAAGGGGAAGAGGAAACAATGCATTGCTTCATGTTAACCCGAAGAGGTCCGGCCCTGGGCACCATAGCACGGGGCCGGGTTCAGAAGCACAAACGGTTAGGCAAGAGCTAATCTCCTGTGAGGATCCCTAGCCTCCGCGATGTTGCTGGCTTTGGTCTCGGGTGTCACGGGGCTTTACATGATGGAAAGATGGCTGGTAGCAACTTCCGCATTCAAAAAGCAGCAGCCGCGCTTGTTTTGCAGGCTGGTGCCCCTCACTGATTTTGATTGGCTCATGCATCCGTCTCCAAACGGTAACAAGGGCTCATGGGAGGCTCTAATTGGCTGAGCCGGAATTCTATTCAACTCCTGAAGTCAAACTGAATGGGCCAGCTTCACCAGAGCACGGAACGGAATGGACAAAGATGTGGTCCTCCTGAGACAACACAAAAAGATTTCCTTTCAGGAGAGGAGGTACATGCAGTCTCGACAGCAGCAAATGTCTGTGACAGGTCTGATGTAAGCCAGGACCCAGATTTCCTTTCATCTCTTTCAATGAAACACATCACTCTCAGGGAGTTAGCCAGCTTCCCTCTTCTGCTGCTATTGTGGTTGCAGATTGACTCTTCTTCTTCCCCTGGTCAGCTGAGAAGTAGTACTGTCTCCTATCCCATCTCTATTGAAATAAACAAACAAAATCAATCCACTATACAAACGCAACTTAACAACACTAACAAAAACACATTTAGGATTCAAAGACTTGTTTTTGCTAATAATGAGACCATGAGAAATAAGTTCTACTTCTAACTAACCTTTAAAGGCTCCTTCTGTTTCAGTGGCCATAACCTCTGGGGCAATCTCTCTTTATCACCCTCTTCCTGGACACGAGTTGTTGAATGTCTCTGACCCTGAGCTCACATACACTGGGTTGACTTTTTGTTTACTTAACCTATGTAAACCACCAGTCCTTGGTTTGTGGGTTCCATGAAGGCGGAACACCAACCTTTATCTTGCTAGCAGCAGCAGCACGAAGTTCATTGTCAGGGACTTACACGGTGGAAGGTCAATAAATGCTTTCTAAATGAGCAAGTGTCTCATAACCCAATCTCATTTAATTTTGATAACAGACCTTTGAAAAAGAGATGATCAAGCTGAGACTTGGAGAGTTAGGGTGACATAAGGTGGACGGCTGGCCAAGATCATGTGCAGCAGGACTACAGCCCAAGTCTGTCTTATACAAAGAGATCACTGTGTTGGTCAAAAGTGCCTGTTTAGAATGAGGGTCAGATTCCAGCTTGTGTGTCCTAACTGATGTCTTATCCACTTTGTGTGCCCTTCTCCACAGCTCTTGAGTACACTTGTACTTTCTTGTCTCTTTACTTTTGGTAGACGCTGCCACCTCTGCTTACTACAGTCTTGTCCCTTTTCAAGCTCAAATGTCACCTCTTTCATAAATAACTCTTATCATGTAGCCCAGAGTGACACCATCCTTTTCCAAGCTGTCGTGGCTTGGGTTTGCTGAGCCATGGATGTGGCATTTATGACCCTGTTTAAAGTACCACTAAGACTCCTGCTTTCCATGTCAGGCTTCAGACCATGTCTGTGCTCTGTGGCTGCCGTACAAAAGCCTTCATTCAGCTGACTTTTCAAAAACACTGTGGGCTGAACTAACGGCATTGTTGTGGTGCCTTTTTGACATGGTAACTATTTTCCCCACTGGCTAGGGCCCAAAACTATATAAATCATTGTTAGAGTTACATTCTTCATTCCTTCAATTTCCATAGGCTGTGGTCTCTCTCCATAGCCAAAGGGATCTCTCACATTCAGGGCCACCAACTATCATGTCAGCAAACTCAAGGAGAAGGGTACTTTCCATAATTGTTAATATGTAGTTTTGCAAATAGTTGGAAGATACATCTTAGTACTTTTTTAGTTTTTAATTTTAGAAGGACTGAGGGCCAGCAGACAAAAATAAGGGGATTTTTTTCCCAGGTGTTTCTAGAGATAATCCAATGTACTGACAAGAAAAGCCCAAACTAACCCGAACATGGTTAACTGGCATTAATTGTCACCTCCAATTGCACACAGTAAAGACAGAAAGGAGAGAGAGGCCCTGCTGCTGTTAGACAAGACTAACGTTAATAGTAGCAAAATAATGTCAAAACAGAAACCAGCTGTGTGTGCTCTACTTCTGTTTTCAGAAATGGAGCAACTCAAAATTCTGACTCATGAAATGTGATCAAAAGATAAAAGTTTTCATCAGAAAATGCACCCAAAGCTCATGTCATCCCACAAATTGTGGTGTAAGACATAGGAGCAGGGTATAGGCATGAATTACAATGGCCTTTTAAAAACAACAACTTTGTAAAGCTGTTTAAGAAATGAATTTACTGCGCCCATGAGACGGCTCACTGTGAATCGCAAGCCTGTCAGCCTGAACCCATGTACAGGTGGAAGGAGAGAAATGACTCCTGAAAGTTGTCCTGTGATCACCACACATATTTGAAAGAGAAAGTTCCATTATCTAAGAAATTTCATCATGTCCTTTCTCTTCATCCCTAACTCCAGAAGCTATCATCTCTGTCCTATCATTTTGACTTTTCTACAATGTTCTTATGTAAATGTGATTAGAATGGCGTATGGCCTTTTGGGTCTAGCTTCTTTCACTTAGCCAAGTGCATAGACACTCCTCCCGACTGTTGTATGTATCCACAGCTCATCCCTTCCCATTGCTGAATAGTGCTCACGGTGTGGAGATACTTTCTGTAGGGACTAAGGGGAAAGGCCCTGGTGAAAGCTATTTGCTGGCCACATGACTGTGAAGAACAAAGAAAGCAGTTAGGGCAACAACCAGCGAGACAGCAGCCACTCAAGGTGGGAAACTATCAGGTCTGAAAGTCAATGGTTGGGACGGGCTAGGGCTAACAGCTAGCAGACAGTCAAGGTCAGAAGTCAGAGACAGACAGAGAGACCCTCAACCATCCATAACTAGCCGAACAGCACACAAACACCATCTTCCTGATTGGCCCGGCTCCAGCTGTGTTCAGAGAACTAACCAATTCCACAGAAATTCCCTGAGTCTTTGTTCAGCCGAAAGTCTTCTATAAAGTCAGCAGGTCCATGCTTTTCCTCCCTCTTGGGAATCCTCCCACAATTGGGTGTAGTTGGGAATTTCTCTCACCTTTCCTTAATTTTCCTTGCTAAAGCCTTATTTTTGCTTCATTTGCTCTTGTCCCCATCTTTTATTACCATCTGAACTTGAGAGCCACTACTACCTCAAGTTGACTTTTGATGACCATTGAGTGTCTGGTACCGTGAGTCCTGGGCCACACTCATCTGGGCAGAGGAAGGTCCCGACAGTCTCAAAGCACTACATCGTTATGAGTACGTCCACCATAAAAATCCACACACAGGTTTTTGTGTGTTTGTGTGAGCAAATGCTTAGGAGTAGGACAGAAAACACAGAAAATGTGAGTGTCAAGAGAAGACAGAAAAGCTGCTCAGTGTGGCGTCTAGTGTGTCTTTCCCACCGATTGGGGTCCAGAAACTTCAACACAATCTAGAAGGCCACACCTGCCTGTGAGAGAATGTATTTTTCCCTAAAGATGTCATAAACAAGGGTGTTAAAAAATGACAAACTGTGTTCACCCAGAATCAGAATGTCTGTAACCCTGAGTTTCATGATATTAGCACTTCTCGCTAATCCCCAAACCTAAACAGTGCACATCACAAAACCAGCTCACAATTTCAGGCTGGCCTTGAACTCAGAGATCCTCCGCCCTCTGCCTCCAGGGTGCTGGGACTAAAGGCGTGCGCCACCTTGTTTGAATGAAGACTCTCTTTCAATAGAGTCCTTATTTGCTCCCATGGTAGATTGCCAGCAGCCAAGTGGCCATACTGTGTGTGTCCCCGTCAGTGACACAGGAGAATTGCTTTGCACCTTAACAGCACCTGGTAGACTAAGTGCTGCTTGTAAACGGCATTCTTACGGGTGTGTGGCAATACCTCATCATTGGTGTAGCTTGTGTTTTTCTAATGACTAAAGATGTTGCATGTCTTCTAATATCCTTATGGATGATCTGTATATCTCTATCGGTGAGTTAGGTGTTGAAATGGTCTATTTTAAAAATCAGATTTGTGTTTCTTATGGTTGTTGTTTTTTGTTTAAATGTTTTAAAATCACATATTAATTGTATGTGATATTAGAAGGTAAAGTTTTTTTTTTAAGAAGAGGATTAAGATTACACATGAGAATGCATCTGGGAAAGAACTATTTTAACATTTTGGCATACATATTTTCTGATTTTTTTAAATATGGATGTACATGTTACAAATATGTAACCTGAATTTCCATAGTTGCATCAGCTTAAATGTACAAATAGGGTCAACAAGCAGAAATAACTCAAATGTCACTGGGTGAGCAGTAGACCCTCAGATTCATTACTATCCCAAAATCACAGATGCAGCTTGAGAACAGAGGATAGAGCCACGTGTGGAGGTGTTCGTCTGTACTCCTAGTGTGTGGGAGAGCAAGGTGGAATCAGTGTTGACTCCACAGCAAGATCACGTCTCAGAAAACAACAACAGAGCAAACTACGGACTTACCGAGGTACCAGAGACGATGCAGGTGTGGAGGGAAACGCTTCTATAAAGGCTTTTGGAGTTTTAAAATGTGGTTAAATTA